TTTAGGTTTCACTGAATCACTTTAATTTTCTGCCACAAGTTGGCTGTTGACTATTTAAAAAAACCTGAAATTTGCAGCAACTCTGAATATTATGGGGTGTTGAAGGACATTTCTTGCATTCTACATACTGCTGATGCCTATTACTGTTTCTTTTATAGATATGGATAACATGCATATAACACAACTATTTCATCCTACTCATACTTACAATATATTAAGAATCATTAAATGCCCCTACAAAATTGGTTTTGTTGTGTTATGCCTTATACTTCAGGATCACATTTTTCCCTACTCTGTTCCCAATTTACTGTTGCAAGATTGGAGATGTGCTTTGCTACACATTCAAATCTGGTGCTGACACTTTTATGTGTAGAGGGTATAAAAAAGGCAAATTCATCATGAAATCCTGGCCTTACCATCACACAGTGAGCAGATACTTCATGCACTAAAGGGTGACCTGCTTAAATTTGGACAACCCATATTCATTAGGGAACAAAATCTTCTACTGATGGCCTAAACTCTCCATACAACCTGAAATAATGGGTTTTCATACAAAGGTGCACAAATGGAGATCCCACCAGCCCACCTATGCTGCAATACTTTGCTTCCCTGACAATAAAAGCAATACATCCACATGCTTAAAAAAATCAGTCTGTTGGCTGAATTTGACACAGATGAGTGTTGGAATTCTCTAGGCTAGATTACTTTCATCTGGCCAAATAATTTCAAAACCAACTGATGGTAAAAATAGTAGCTTCCAACTACAAATTAACTTGTGTTTCATCCATTTATACCAAAAAGTATTATATTAAATTGCTTTCCTTTTTGAGGCTGGCACTAAAAGTAAAGGAGTTGTGGGTCTTTTTAACTGCATCATGTCCTGTGAACAAGAAAATCTTGAGATCTGAAACCATTACAATACTAGATGAAGCTTTCTGGGCTTAGATGTATTCATAATTCAGGACAATTGATCCCAGCATTTCAGTTCCAGCTGATTATTGTATTATTTACGCTTCTTTATGTTTTGGGTCTCAACTCCATCCCTTCCCCCCTGGGAGCCACAGACTGCAATTTGCTTACATTATTCTGCCTTTTGTATCACAATTGCCTGAGAAATGAAAACAAATGGAAGGAAATAAACATAAAAGCTATGAGGACCTAGTTTATGATTATTTTATAATTCAATTTTTAATCCTATGAGGTATTCTAGGCAGTCTGTAATAGATAATATGTCACAAAACAAACTGCTCATTCTATCCCAATCTAGTTTTCCACAAGTGAAGTACTTTTAAAAGGCTGACAGAATTTTAAAATTTGTATGAATTGACTACAGGCTTATTACAGTGTCTTCATTTCTGGACTCAAAGAAACAAAGCCTTAGTGAAGTCAGCAAATAGGCTATTAGCAAATAGCTAATTATAAAATAACAGGAAAATAAATAAAGGGACAGGGTCAAAAAGTCCCTTTCCTGTTCTGCATACACAGACTCTACATAAAACTTTCAGCTGCTGTCTTGGCTTTAACGAGAAGTCAGAGAAAGAACAGTATCTATCATATGGCTGCTTTAGGTCTATGGAGTTGACAAACAGGATCTGCAAGAACTTTTCCAAGAGATCACAAAGCTTAACATTTAAACATCTTTTGCTTTAATTCTCAACATGCTCTGGCTTCATGAAGGATCAGCTTACATTAACCTTACTTATAGTGAATGGGATTACGCTATACAACTAAGTTAAATGATTCCTGTAAAACAGGGTTGGATTCAAGACACGTCTCAATGCAAGTCTGTCAGTATGCATATAGTGGTCTGGAGAAAAAGTGGTTTAGAGTTTCCATCGTGCTGTTTGCAGTTTGAGTAATGGCAGCATTAGTGTCTGCTCAAAATGCAGATGGAATAGTGGGAGGGGAGGTATTACATGATGCTCGTTGAGACCTAACAATGTCCACAGATTTGAATTCTAAGACAAACTCCACCTAAGGACTGAATTAACCTGCAACTGCTGACCAAAGGCAGTGCTCTAATCATCTGAAAAAGGCAAGGTAAATCTCCACCTTCACATTACAGCTCGCCTTTGGCAGAGAAAGGAAGATAAAACATGCAGCTGCAGAAAAAAAAATAAAGCATGTACCCAAAGATGGAAGTTCCTTCATGGAATTTCAAGTGGCCTCAGCCACCTCTCATGTTTGTGTCATGGAGGGGTGGGAATAGGTGTCATATGTTTGGATATGTTGAATATCATGTTTACTTTTGTCTAATTATAAGGAGCTTCTACTCACCATACAAATTATCAAATTGCTTTTTGATGAGGCATCAAAGAGGCAGAGTGTATACATAATGTTAGACTTCCAAAATACCTAACCCTTAGTGTAACCTTAGGTACACACCTAACCCTTACACACTGATTTTAAAGAAACAAGTGTTTCACATTATCCTGCTGAGTTGGGTATCTAATTTTTAATTTATTTCATACTTTCTTTTCAGTGCTCTGATCAAATGTTATCATCCTATAACTCATTACACTTTCAGACAAATTAATAAAATATTTTAGCGTGCACAGATGTTTAAAAGAAACTATAGATCCATTCTCAAAACAATTTAGGAAACTGCTAACTGAAAGAAAATGTGGTTTTCAAATACCTAAAATGTAATTAGAGTTTCTAAAATAATGCAATTTTTCAGATTCTAGAAGGTCTAACACAGCACAAGTCCTCATGATTGCTGCAATCCTTAGTTCAGTAGGCTATGAGAAGGTAGGCAGGCAAGAATATAAACTGCTTTATGATACCTACTAAAACCTTAAGAGTAACCATTTTAAATCTGTTCTCTCAAATTATTCACTAGGTATTTTATTTCTAGAAATTAAATTCCTCCAGATTACTCCCGAATGTATTCTGCATCAAAAACATTGTTCAATTTCTCAGTTCAAATGCATATTATACAGGTTTTTAAAAAATTACTTGAATTTATAAAACAAAGTGTAAGTTCTGGTAGCAGCACATATATTCAGGAGATTAAAGTGCATGGTAATGTTAAATTAATTTGCCCATATTTTTGTCCCACTCTGACATAAAGAAGAATCCTGTGCCATCTACAGCCTCTTGTTATTTAGAATGTCACCTTCGAGACACAAAGACCAGTATCACATAGTCTAGTATCACACAGATTGAGATGAAAAAGAAAAAGCTGAAGGCTGCACAGGGGCATCCTATTTATACTGTTTTTTTCTTTCCAAAGAGGCAGCTGGAGATGGATGTAAAACAATCAGCACACATATGTGAATCTACACTGTGGAGGCACACACAGGACATGACAACTTCATAATAAAAGAATTATTTGATATAAGTTTTTTGAACTATATTTGAAAACTAGGAAATGCAGAATCGTTACTACCTCCCTTTGTTCAATTTTATTTTGGGAAATATTATTTAAGAGCAATAATTTTAGCAATTAGAGGAGAAGCAGCTTTCTGTGAAACAAGATTCACAAATTACAAGAGAAGTGTATATCTCGATAAAAGATTTCTTAAATTTTTCTCTATGTTTCTTGAGACAAAAATTCTTAAAGAGTTTGCATGCTTTGAAATACCAATTATTCTACAGCTAGCAGTTATTCTCAAGAAAGGATGTTTTTATCTAGATTCAGCTATTTGGTTTTATTCAGTTTCAGCTATTTAGAGAAATGTTTTATTGAATTTACAAATAAGGACTCTCAATATTCTATTTCCATTTCCCTTTCCATAAAATAAATCATCTGGCCCAGGCATGTCATTACAACTATAGTTTACTTGATGCAACATGACAGTTAAGATGTACTGTGGTAATTTGAGTGCTTTCACTGTTATTGTAGTATCAAAAATTTATATGGTTCAGTTATTAAGGCAAATTGCTTCATTCATACAGTGATATCTGACAGTAACCACAAAGGACCTCCAAATTACACTGAAAAAATATCTTCCACATTCAAATAATGTGTGCATATTCCTACCATTATTTCGCTCACTGACTAGAAGCAAGAGGGAATTCTGTAAGGAAAAGTATCAGTTCACATTTCAGGGAAAGTTCACCAGTCATGCAATATCATTGAAGAAACTCCCTCTTGCCCAGCTAAGTGAGCCTGACTCTCTTTAACAATTTATAGGCCATGAACAGGATGCCCAATTCCTCGGAATGATGTTATTTAGTTTCAATGTGCTCACTTACCTTCTGTCATGTTGATTTTCAGCCAACAGGAAGAAAGAAATAAATAAGAGGTTGACTAGCCTGAAGAGACTACAGAGGAAAACATGCTCAAATACATCAGTGTTAGCATTTCTTATAAGTTTTAGCATAATCAGGGTTACAGAAAATGGAAAGCTGTTAAGCTTTCTTCGCATTTAAGACTCATTCAGTCTTCAACTCTACTCTCTAGAAAGAAATGAGATTTTCATGAAAGTATTTTGGATTTGGTATTAACCTGTGAGATGTGAATATGTGTGTACATACACACTTACATACACACAGACTTAAATACACACATTAGAACTATCACAAAACTCACAACAGCATTTTCTGAGTTCCAGGGCAGAGAGCTCCCCACACACAAGTTTCCTGAAAAGCATTAAACACCCCCACAACATCTGATACACAACCTGCATCTCTGAAAAGCAGAAGAGGGAACTGGTTTTCAAAGCACAGTACAAGGTGGGAAGAGAACAGGCCAAGCTGAACCACACACCAGCTAGTTGATTCAAAAACCAATGCTGTGAACTAGTTGCTCTTCTCTGACACCTGACAGCAGGATACCAAAGAGGGCTCAAGATTAAAGATGTTTACTTAATTTTGTCTACCTAACTTTTTGCCGCAAAAGGATACTCCACACAGGTGATTCCTTTCTGCTTGCAATTTTGCCAGTCAAATAGCTAACCAATTTTATCCTCCCTCAGTCCCACCCGCCCTTCAAAGCCTTACCATTTTTCTCAATAAATCAAATTAGTGTTTAGGCAAGTACCACCTGCACTTACTTTGTTGCCCAAATAAGAACTTGGTGCGCTCCAATAGTAAATCTGTGGTAGTACTTTTTGTGCAGCCACGTTGCTGATGCTTAGCTGCTGATGCCCATCAAATCTCTTTTGTGTGGGGACAACTCTGACGAGACCTGGTAAGTCAGTCAGATACCAACCATTCATGTCTTCTATCTAAAATGATAGGAAAATAAATAAGTAAATAAAACCCACATTACAATAATAATCAGAACATTGATCATTTCAACAGCCACAGCCTCGCATTCTTCCATTTAAAAAAAAAACTGATTAGGTTTAATAGCAGTGTAGGAACCAAGGAAAACACAAAGTAAAAACAGCAAACATTTCGTATTGTATATGACTGGGAATGATAACTTCTCAGTTTGAAAGAACAGCAAGTATTTGCATTCTGTGTTTCATGGTCCAGAGCAAGAAAGAAATTCCAACATACAAACATATGTGCAAGATTATTGATAAATATTTTGCAAGTTTTCAGTAAATAACATCAGTCAACAGATTGTACAGAAAATGAACTGACAAATGCATATACATTTTCTAATTGCTGTAGGCATCATAATTTGTAATATTTTTCCATTACAAAACCTTACAAGGCCAAATATACTTTTTATACTTTTACACCTTTTTGGTGCTGGAAAGCACCAGAATTTGAATTTCTGAAATCCCATAATTAATAATGAATCATCAGAGAAGAGCACACTTTGTACAAAGATGGCTTCTGGAGCCCAGATACAAGCCGAACAATAAATGAGCTCAGCCATGAAATGGAAAATTTCCCAGTTGCTGGCATGTAAATGAGAACATTAGACATATATGATGTTACTTGCAGACTTCCAGCATAACAATATGGCCAAAATCAAGATCTAGTAGACCTAGAACACATTTCCCAAACTCAATCTACAGGCATGAATATGTAGCAAACATTCATTTCAGTGGCATGAGTGTCTGAGCTTTGAGAACTAATTTACAGTTCAGAGTATATTTGCAGGCGAAAGACATTTTTCTACAGTATAAATAAGAACAGCAGGTTCATCTTCCTCTCACATCCTTTCCTAGGAAGGCAGCATACAAAAGAAATGCATTCAAAATCCTGCAAGGCATTCCTTTTTCTTACTTAAGCTGTGTGTTGCACATTTACTGTTTCTAAATTCTTAATTACTTCAGGTCTAGAAATTTAATAATTACCTGGAAAAGAGGCTGCCCTGTGGATATGGAGCATTTAATTCAGGAGTGGTTATGTATGCACATTCCAGGACTCTGTTTATGCATATGGCTTCAATTTATATTGTTATAGCTTCTTTTGTGCTTTTCACTGTTCTAATTGCTCTATTTCAGAACTTCCTCACAAGGAATGACAAAGCTTAAAAACATTTTCTTCCAGATAAATGAAAAATAAAGGACATGCATGATTTTCTAATAAGAAAAAACCTAGTGACAATGGTTACTGATAACACAAAAAACACAAAGCAAAGACATGTACTGGTATGCTATGATTTTTCTTACACTTCTGTAGGTAAAGGGAGAGTGTCTGCAGATGTTTGTTTTTCCAGAGCAGAAACATTCCTCACAGCCTTCGGGATTATTTTGCTGAAGATTGAAGAAACCTGGTTTACAACGGTCACAGTTTTCTCCTTCAACATGCTCCTGGAAAGGCACATTAGAGTATTACTTTAGTTGTCATAGATGAGAATCAGAGATCACTGGCTTTTTATTCTTCAGGAGGACTCTAAAGACATTTATAGGAAAGACTTTCTTACTTGTGAATGTTAGTAGCAAATCCTTTACACAGTAAAAGGCACTATGTGGCTGCATGTAAATAATAGGACATGGAATTTGGACATTAAAAGAGTTGTAATTTCTCATCTCTGTGAATGGACATATTTTATGTCAGGTAATAATCTAATTCATATACTTTACACTGACAGTCTCAGAGGGGAAGGTAGTATGGCACAATGTTACAACCTCAACAACTGTAGTATGTAGGTAGGACTGACAAAATCCATGCACATCCAGCTGATGGAAACTACAGGTACGTGGTAGTAGTCGCACTAATCACTCTGAGTATCAGTTTTTCAGAGATCTGGCATTAATAAATGAATTCAGGATAAATACAAGTAGTAAATGAGCTGCAATTCTTCTTTCCATAACTACATGTGTTTGCCAGCCATGCAGCCAGGTTTGGAAACTCTTCCCCTGCAGGAAGACAGGCACTAAATATACATGAGCTATTCTAAACTTAGCATTTTGTAATTATATTTTTCATAGAAAGCTTACGTTGTGCATTAAATCCTACTATCTTACAGTATACATCAATTTGTCCTATAGGCAAAATTAAAGCTAGGTTTTCTACACAGTGTGGCAGGATGCTTATGATATGGTGCTGGTTCAGTAATTCAGTATTTTCCCCAACAGAGCTCAGAAAATTCTTCCCCTTTCAGAGGTATTATGCACAGTCTCTTTAACCCTGGAGACAGTGCTCTGTGGAATGCACACGGGGCTGAACTGTTGGCTCTACGTCAGCAGAAAATGAACATATTCTAAAAACCCTGCCTACACTGTGCAGTCTAGGATAGCTCAAAATACACAGCTCCACAGTAAATTCACTGAAAGCCATTTGATAGCCTCCTGGTTAAGATGTAGCAAACCTGGCAAAAATGGGGCAAGGCAGGTGGATGTATGGGGAGAAAGGACAGCACACATGAATGAAGAGAAAATAGAGACAGCGTGCAGAAAGGGGCAATGACCTGCAAAAAGGAAGATACAGTGAAAATTTAATAATGTTTTCACCACTAATTATACAGTAAAAATATGTGTAAAAAAGTATCTTTGCTCTGTCTCTACTGCTGTGCTCCATGCTCCTCTTCAGTAATATCATACAGACTATTAAACAAACCACAAACATCTTTAATAAAACTCAAGGTTATAAGTAAATTAGATTTAACTTCAAAATCTCACTAATGTTAAGACTGGCATTTTTACATTTTCACCAGAAATCTTGGGATTAATCAATGCCTATTACTGCCATGGGTATGTCAAAATCAACTGGTTACTCATGCTTCATGTGAATAATAACGTGGGCAGCATCTGGACACAGATACTCTCACCCTTTATTTAAGAAACTACAGTTCTGAACACTGGTCCCAAAAGTTTCATACTGTGTTGATGTACTTAGTGTGTGCAGAGAGGGAAGAGGAAAATAAAAAGAGAGCTGCAAACCAAACGTGTTTAAATGCAAAGTTGCCTGCTCTGCAGTCACAAACATCATCTGTGATAAAACTTGCAGAACTCCATTGAGTAGGCATGAAATTCAGTGAATAATAGGTATAATAAAATTTAGAGTTGGAAAGGAGATCTAACCTATCCCTCAGCAAATAAAGCAATGTTTCTGTAACCCCATGTATTTCTCAATACTTTTCAGTGAAGTATTAAGCTATCCAAAGATGAAACTTTGACCACATACTGTCATAAAGTTCCAAAGCCTATCCAGTTAGGACTGTTTTTCAGCAATTTCTTTTACAAGAAAACTATCTTTAGCAAATTTAAAGCTCATCATAGGTAATTGAAAGATGTGGTTAAAATACGGGAAACATTTCCTAAGACCTGCTATTAACCAGACATCCCACTTTATTCTTCACATGGAGCATAACTAATCTGATGATTTCAGTGTCCCTTTGACCATATTCTGCTTTGATTTGAATTTGAAGATTGCTAGTGAAATTAAATGTGTATGTATCTGTATCTCAGCTATGTACAAAAGGTATCATTTTTCTCCCACAAGCACTTAAAAAGGGATTGGAGGAGCACAAAGAAAACAAAAGATAAACACTGAAAGAAAAGAGCATATAATGAGAACTCTCTGGGACAGGAACAATTATTTCTATTCTTTATTTGTTCATTTTTGTCTGTGTGCACTAACAGGTCAGTTTGGCTTTACATGAATAACATCATAAGAATTATTAAGCAGTGTTCATCTGGTATTTAGCATAATACATCTTCATCAAAGCTCCATTCCAAGCCAGAACATAGCAAAATCACCCTCTTATGATCTTCTAAACTTGATGGCTAAGTAATTAGAAATATGATGTGGATGATTTTATTTCTGAGAGAGATCATGTGGCTGTTACATAAAGTGAGGATAAAGTTAATTCTCTGAGTAGATTTCAGTGCTATTCAGCTGTCAAACCAGAGCTTTGTGTGAATCTGCAGCATGAGATTGAAGCATTTTTTGTACATTCCTGTATTTAAGAATGCCATGTAAGTATTTCTAAATTCTCATTTGTGACTAATTCTGTTAACTAAATTTTGGAAGGGAATTCCCACAAATACAGTACAGAAAAAGTGATCCACAGTACAGTGAGCAGTCCTTTGGGCATATTCACAGTCACTTACTAGACTGTGACTTAGAAAGCACAACCATTTCTAAAGCCTTTCTGATAGCTAGGTATTTTAGAAGTGGATGCGTCTGCTTTAAATGTTTTTAATTTCAATATAATATCAAGATATAGTTGGAGGGAGATACCCAATGGCACACAGAGAAAAGCCTTCTTAAATTTTCTTCCCAGAAATTAAGAAATTCATCCTACAGAAAGGATATATTTTGTTTTTTTAGAACATATTAGAGATTTCTCAACAATCAACCATCCCAAGGCAGGAAAGAATGACTACTCCTAAAAGGCAACCTTCTTGTTTTAATAGATCATCAGTTCACTTCATTTTCTCTTTTTGAAATGCATTTACAGATTAGTTTTAGAATCTACAAAAAGTAAACATATACTTTTTGAGTAGATGAGGATGGGGTTTGAAACAAATGATTCACAGGCTTTGTAAGTGTCCCTTCATTACAGAATTCTAAGGACTTGTATGACTGGCAGCATACAAGGCTCCTAGGTAAATATGTTGATTGAAGTGAGTTCTGAGATGACACAAGACTGTGTAGGATTTTGTAGGACCAAGACCAAGTGTTCTGTGAGAAGTGGCTAACACAGATACTAACACAGCTAGGTAGAACAGCGGGATACTCTGGCATAATAAAAGGGCATTAATGCAATATTTCAGTACCATTGGTATCTTGCTATGGCTCAGAAGAATTCGACATCCATACCTTGCAGATGCAGGGACCTATGCAGGGGTCATCATTTTCACTGCCCTCAAGGGAGCAGTTGCAGGGCAGGCACTCAGGATATCCTGTATAACCCAAGGCACATTGATTGCAGCTTTCTCCTGCATAGCCAGTCTTGCAGTGACAGAAACCAGGCAACAAATCTACAGGAAGAGGGAAAAAACATGAGATATATTTCATTTGTCATTATTATTGTCAGATATGTGTGTTAGAGCACTCAAAGCAACACCTCTGGTGGGTTTAACATAAGGGGGTGTTTACTGTTGCTCACAGCACCATCTGTAACTCAGAATCATCTGAGAGAGACTAGAATGAACAATGTAAGAATAGGGCAAGTATACAGTGATTTGAATTCTGAGTTTCCAGAAATCTGCATATTAAGAAATCTTGAAAATCCAAACATATCCCTACTTCTTTGCATCTAACAGTCCCTGAAAACCTTCTCTTCCATTAATTAATCCAAAGACCTTTCAACACGCTTTTATGTTCAGAATCTGTAAGGCTCCCCAGCAGGGAATTTTTCACATTTAGCCTTGTATAGTGTGAAAGAAAACAGTGATGTGTGATAAATCTCTATTTATTGCCATCTAATTGTTATATCATAGAAAAGAGAAAGTAACCATTCACTTTATCCATGCCATCTGTGATTTCAATATACATCTATCATATCCTACCTGACATTTTTAATTCATATGCCACAAACTCCTACACCTGCTCAGTATCTCTAGACAGAAACTGCTTGGTATGTCCAAAAACCTCTGCTGTCCTTCTCTGCACTGTTTCCAATTCTAATAAATTATTTAAAGAGGGTGTGTATACTGTAAATTGGTTTGATTGGTTTTTCTGATGATTTTTTTCAGTTATTTTTTAAAAAACAGTAGTATTTCAAAGGACCTGTTGATGTTTTTGACTACTGCCAAGACAGAACAGAGATGGCAGACCTGAGACACAGTCCAAGGAAATTCCCAGATCTGTTTCACAACTGATAGTGCTTAATTCAGAAATCACTGTAATCACTGTACAAGTAGAACTACTTTTCTCAGTGTTCTACTTTTCCTGTAATTGCTACAAAAAAGTCATCATTTATTTTACTACCCAGACACTATCTTGAGATCCTTCTCAACATTTTGCAGTTCTTTCATTTTTCTATGCTGAAAGATTTTGTACTTGCTAACTTTGTCACCTTCCTACTCATCCCTTCTCCAGGTTAAATATGAATATTTTCAACAGTTCATATTGATCATCACTGTGAAAATGGTCCATTAATTCTTTTAACCAAGTACTAAACCATGAAAGAACCTTTTCTCCTTATCCTATTACACTTTCTTTTGTGGATTTTGGCAAAAGATCTTGTCAAAACCTTTTGAAAATCAAAATACAATATTAATCAAATGAGCCTTTGTTCACATATTCATTTAATCCTTCAAACAGATTCATAAGGCAGACTGTCCTTTACATAAAACCCCTAGTCTTGATTTTTGCCCATTTTTGCCACATTTCAGAAATAGCATAAATCCTTTATTGTAGTTCTAGTGATTTCCATGGAACAGAAACCAGACCTTCTGATTCTAGTTTCCTGGAACACCCTGTCTTTCTTTTGGATAAACAGGGTCTATTTAATATTAATGTCTGTTTTGACAAATATTGTAAGCTATATTTAATGCCTCAAGCAACTCAATTTTCAACTACTCAACTCATCTTGAAGCCATGGATAAATATGCTCCATGCCTAACAAATTTTGATTCTGCATTTATCAGTTCACTTCAAACCTGACACTTCTGTTTGAGGCAGTTCTCTTCTGACTTGTCCCCATGAATGAAGACTCCCAAGTGGGAAATTCCCTGAGCTGTTTTAGTTACTGTTTAAAAGAATTAATATAGTTGTTCTGCTGTGTCCCTTTCTTTCTTGAGAAGTCCATTTATAACTTGATTACACATAAACCATATTTAACTCTACTGCATTTGAATCTCTAGCACTCTGTTTGATTCTGAATTATCTGAAAAACTACCTCTTAGCAACATCTAACTATTCAGAAAATGATTCCTTAAAATATGTGTATTTATTATTAAGAGCATGCCTTTCTGGAATCTGTCACAATTTATATTCTTTTCTATTATCCTAGTTAGGAATAACTTCTGATTTTAAGTGGATTTCTTTCTGCTGTTTAAATAGATATATCTTTTTTGTTGTTGTTGTTAGCTTAATTGCATTACTTGAATAATTTTGAACCAGAGAAATGCATCTTCTCTGAATGTCTAATATGTGGTCTATAAACCCTAAGCTTGCCATTAGCAGTCTTGGATTGTTCATTTTTATTTTCCTTTTATAGATTTCCTTGTTTTGATTAAGTTGTTTTTCAGGGAGGCTTTCTCATTCCCACAAGAATGTTGAATTTGACTGTCCTTCAGGAGGAGAGTTTTAAAACAGTCCCCCATGCATAAATCCAGAGGTGCTTCTCCTTTTTACGGCTTCTCTAACTAGCTATTTGAAGAAGCAGCCACCTACAGGAGTTTTAAATTATATCATCTGTTAGTCTACACAGAGGTGAATTCAATCTGTCTACTCTAACCTTGAAGCCTCTTTGATCTGCTGTAACACATCATGCCGACTGTCACCTTCTTGATCTGACCTAATTATACACAGAATTTCAATGCATGAAATTTCTGTTACTTACTATCTCAAAGTTATGTGCTCCATGGGTTTTGCTGCCTTTGGCTCAGCTGATTCTCAAATTTCTGAGTTATTCCCCTCTCAAAGAAGCTACCATCAAGGCCCCACAGCACAGCAGGACACAAGCTCTTGTAATCTGGGTCAATGCATCCTAACTGCACCATCTGGGACAGAGAAACTTTTGTTCCTTCCAGATGAAAATAGCTGGCTATACTCCAGGGTTCAGCAGTAAAAGACATAGGTAAGCCTACTCTTTAGAAGTGAGCCCACCTCATTTGAAAGCTTCAGGAACTCGTATCTCACAAATGAAGTCTCAGCTCAAATTCAACTATATGTTTCAGTATGGAGCACCCAAATACTCATTTATATCTACAGTCTCTCCTCCATTGCCCACTCCATTAATTTTTTTTTTTTTTAGTTCCCCAACAAGAACCATCCCTTCTCCTGCTCCGCCTTTCTATGCAGTTATTGAAAACTTTACTGTCACCAGCCCAGCTTGCCCCATTCTTACACAGCATACAGAGATAACCTCAGCACACCACTTATCAAGAGACCTCACACTCCACGTGAGAGAGAGGAAGGCAGGAGGTTGCTACCTGTCATACATTCTTCCAGCTCTCACACTTGTTGATACAGTTAGTCTGTGTGCTTGATTTGGCTCCATGCCTTCTTCCATTTACAGCCCTTGTGAGATCTCAGCTCTCCCTGTGTTACACAGCGTGTAAATTCCTCTCAGTGCCCCACTGGTTGTTTTTGATGAGGCTGCTGTAGTACATATGCAATGTACAACATGTCAACAGTCTAATTACATTTCAATTTAAGGCATATGTACCAGGCTGTCTCTTGTTGTTGTTGCAATGAACTGATATTTCAAAAGGACGTCTTTTGCTTTTGGTCTATGACTTCATAGGTCTTGTTTGAATGGGGCTTTATTTGATGAATCTGTTATTCGATTTTCTCCCTGCATATTATCAGTTTCTGTCCTGTCTTTCAGCATGCAGGGGCTTTGAAAATGCACCCTAGAGGATGAGTCATCTTGACATATGAGTTTTACCTGTTAGTTTTTCCTAGCCTAGCAAGTCTTTCAAAACTGCACAAAAATAATGCATGCAGAAGCATGAACCAGACCCTTAAAAAGCCTGCAATCCTAGGAAAGGCCTCTTGTCATTTTCACTCCTGTTCAACAGGGTATAAATTTTGAAAATAATTTCATAGAAGTCAGTGGGACCGCTTGCTGAGCAAAGTAGGACAAAGCCTGAATAAAGATCAAGATGTCTGGATCTTACTTATCCTAAAATGTCTGAGGACCTTCTCAGCAAAAACAAACATCTGTCATTGGGATTATATTGTACATAAAGAGGCAATAGGGGAAAAAAAGACAGCGTGCCCCGAAGACTGACTCATAAAACTCTGCCGGGTTCCAAACCTGTCAGTTCTTGCAGGTGATAAGGGCCAAGTAAAATGGCTATTTGTTAAAATCTAGCATCTAGCCATTAGAGCTTAAAAAAAGTGTACCAATTCATGGAGAAAGCCTTAATTACTGGAGTACAGAGTACTTCTAGATGGCTGGACCTTCGCTTCTATATGGAACACTGCAATATCAGCAATGGTTAAGTTTAGGTATTATCAGGATGAACTGAACACAGATGGAAAAATTCAGTTGTAGAATTATGGCCTTTCAGTTACAAAACCTAGAGGAAGCTTCATCAGTTTATTTTATGATTGATCTTAAGTTTCTCTTTTTTATATTTCTCACTAACATAAGATATAGGATTGCCATGAAAGAATATTTAAAAAGCATCCTTGAAGATTCAAAAGCAAAAATACACTTTACAAGCAATAATAATATTTGATTTTAGACTATTGACTGAGACACATGAGGACAAAGAGATCAAAATGGAAATTATACATAAAATACAGCAATACTTCTTTCTTTCCTGAAACAATGAATACTATATTATAAGGCAGCTTCTCTATGTCCTTCTCTTATCTAGCAAAAACTGATTACGACTACAGGATGCAGTCATTTAAATCCTCTTGATGCATTTCATCAATGCACCAGCTATTATAGTTTTGCTACAATTTTCCATTTTAATTGCTGCTTACCTACTGTATTCAAGAACAGAGAATGTACAGCCTCCAGCTTTATTTTACTTGAGAACTCTTCACAGTGACTCTATATTCCCAGTGATGTTCCTTACTATCTTATTTCCATTCTAGTTTAATGTCTTTTACTTGCTCAAAGCATTTACTTAGCACGCTTTTAAGAAGCATATTCCCATCCTACACCAAGCAAACAATTTACCCCCATACAACCAGCCAGCGACTCTTTAAGATGTATTTCAACCCACCCAGAGTGCTCATTCTGGTTCACTGGTGAATAGATAGATTCATTCAAACAGATCATGCTTTCCAGCTTTTCCTTTATGAACACTCACCAGTGCTTCAAACCAAGTTGCTGCCCAGGGTGAGCAGTATGCAGTAAAAAGAATTTTATCAGTGTACTGAATACAGATGTCAGAGGGTAAAAAAGGGATGAAGTGACCTTTCAGGATAGTTTTATGCAAAAAATTATATCCAGACTCACTCTTGATTCTAAAACAACCTCTTCTGTTACCACAGAAATCTTTTCTTAAAAGAAATAATAGAAACGCTTTTCCTCTCAACCATTATTATTGTGTTTTTTGTTGAATAAGGCATTACAGTCACAAATATGTGACTGGTTCAAGAACTATAAAATTAATGAGCAAGAAGTAAACATTTTTCCTAATGTGTTGGAAACTTATCTAGTACAAGTGAAAAAAAAAGGCAAATAAACAATAAGAACAATGAGCAAAGAGCAAGTCCATTGTAGGCAGAATACCTTTGATGCCCAGATATATGTAGAGCTGGCTTGTTTTTGTTGTTAAACCAGTCTTAAACCAGAAAAACAATAAGATAGATATCAAAACTATCCTTTGGCCATTGTTCGACAGAGCAACCATGTCTCACTAGACTTCCAAGACTGGGCAGGACACAGACAACTGGACCCAAGAACAAATGCATGGACTACTTTAGGGAGGGAATTTCATACATGATGGCAGTTATCTAAACAACAATTGTGCTTGTCACATATGAGAACAAATAGTTTAAACACACAGAATAACCTCCACAGTAAATAACTTGGAAACAGAAGGCATCAATGAGTTTAGAAAGGAATAAAGGGAAAAATATTTATGTGTTGCAAGTAGGACATTCAACAAAGATTAAGAAAACATGCTCAAAAGCAACAGGCCTCCAACCAACTGCAGCAGCATGAGGTAAATTTCAGGTAGATGAGAAAAAGCTGGTTACAGTCAAGACAGAAAAAGATGAGAGTTTTCATTTTGTGAAGAGAACAAAAGAACTCTGGTTCTTGGGACTGGAGAAACTAGAGCATTCAACAACTTCTTTGAATGCCTGGGGCCAGATGAGCAGGACTGGCTACCTGCAATAAAAGTAAAAGGTGGAAAAGCATAAAAAAATAATCCAAGATGTTACCTTGAACATGTTAGTATGACATGCTTATTGATCTTCCATAAAGACACAGTTAATGATCCAAACAAGAGCTTAATTATCTTCCTAGAGATATTCACTAATGAGGCAAGAGAAGAATTTGCCAGAAAGAAGATCAGAGCACTAAAAAGGCAGAAGGAGACATAGCAAGGCGTCAAAGTACAGTACCACCTTGTCAGATTCAGAAAGTATAAGCAGATTTAAAAAGCAACTATGAGATGGTTTAGATCTGCTGCATGCTCAGAGGCATAAGACATTTTGAGAGCTCCTAAGGACACCACTACTGACAAACACGACGGAAAAATGTCTCTATCCTTTTGCTTTCCTCTTCTTGTGAGAGAGGAGCTGTCAGCCTGTTAAGTGCTGATCAGCTGCCAGGCCCCAGGAGGATGACCCACACCAGGGGCCAGAAAAGAAGGTGTGAAAAGAGAGATTGCAGCAGTGACAGGAGTCAGAGACTAAGCAGCTGTGTAACATGCAAGAGGGACATCGCATTTTTTTGAATTAATCATTCCCCATCTCAGAATCACAGTCTGAGAGGTTCCTTTGTTGCATTGTCTGTCATCTGTAACCTGTTTTAGTATCAACCACAGGTTTGGTACAGGCATTGGAGAGTCTTGCTGTGTTTTTGCCAGCTTTGGGATTCATCCTCCCTTCCGCTCATCCTGTCTCTCATATCACTCCACGTAATACACTGCACTGGGTATCCATTCCCATGCCCTGGCAGCAGGGAGGGGGCTGCCAGGGCAGCCTCTGTGAAGAAAAGGCCGTGCCAGACACAGCCAGCTCCCAACAGGGCACACAGTCCCTCAGCCAGCCAGGTCAGAGAATGGAGAAGGGGAAGGAGTGGAAGGAGAAGCTCCTGGTCCAGAGTAGACACACCCTTGGAGTCCCTGGAGAAAACCAGGCTGCAAAAACCAGCAGATATCCATGCTGCATTTCCATGAAGGAAATGTTGGATATTTCTTGAAGGAACTACATCCCATGGAGAACTGCTGGTAGGGAAAATTTTTTTTGTGAAGGATGTAGGCCCATGGGGAGCACCCACACTGGAGCTGGAGAAAAGTGTGAGGAGGAAGGACTGTCAAAAAGGAACTGTTATAACCACTGCTATGACTCCTGCTTGCCATCACCCTGCATCACCAGTGGTAGTGGGGGAGAAGGTAGAGGAGCAGTGTGGAATGAAGAAGTGAGGTTGAGTCTGGGAAAAAAAATGAAGGTGGAGGAAGAGGTGTATTCTTAATATTAGTCTTTGCTTATGAAACCTGTCTTTGCTTATGCTACCTGAAACTATTCAAATTGACAATAACTTAATTTTCCCCAAATAAAATCTGTTTTACCCAGGATGATAATTGGAAAATGATTTCCTGATTGTTACTTTGGCCCATGAGCTGTTTCATCTTTTGCTCTGCCCCTGCCCTGCTGAGAAGAGCAGTGAGAGAGTGGCTGGGTGGGCAGCTTCAGCTAGCCAAGACTAACCCACCAGAGACACCACTGGGACAGTAAATCAGTATAATTTTATTGAACTGGTGCAATCAGTACATGGTTATTACAGTAGATTATGGGTCCTGTCTTTGCATCTCTGCCATGTTGTTTTTATGTTCTATTGATCTCTGTTTTAAAGGATGGCTACATTTCATCAATAGATTGAAATTAGCCCAATTTATAAATCTCTTAAGAACCGACCTTGAGTTTTGTTGTCTTCCTACAGTATTTTCAGATGTTTTACAATGAAAGAACCAAAAAAATGACCATTCATTGTTTCCAAAGCCCAATGAACAGTTCATTGTCTATGTGAAGATAGCTTTTACAGGGCTATGTTAAGCATCTTGTAATTCTACATGAATAACACAGAAAGCAAATAAATACCTTTCAAGAATAATGTTTAGATTTCAAATGGAAATGTGCTTAGATAGGAAAAGATATTATAGCATTGCTGTTGTATGAGTTTTAATCTCTGTGGTAAAAGAAGAAAGCTCTTTAATGCCAAAATTCTTCAATATTTTCCATTGGGAATATTCTTCCAAAGATACACGAGGTTCCCAGCCATGAATCTGAAAGTAGCCTCAACAAACTGGTAATACGAGTTTAAAAAAAGAAAAGAAAAAAAGAAAAAAAAAAACCAAAACATTGGAGCTAGATTACTGCTTGTATGAATAAAATTAAAAAAAAACAACAAAAAAAAAAAAAAACCAAAACATGGGAGCTAGATTACTGCTTGTATGAGGAAAATTAAAAAAAAACAAACAAACAAAAAAAAACCACAAAAAAAACCAAAAAAAAAGAAAAAAAAAAAACCAAAACCAACCCTTTTGGGCATTTTTTTGGTTAAAGATACCAAAAATGTGATTCAGCATTTCTTTGACCATTGCTGAATGACCTATATTTGAGGGAGCTTACCTCCTTCTGTATGTTTCTCATCCTTGACACAGGTATCATTTAAAGACCCATTTGGATCACAGGAACATGGCTGGCATGGATCTGGGTTATCTGGCAATACCTATAAAGACATTAGAAGAAAAAAAACTTACCTTCAATAATTGGAAACTTTTATTTACGTCTTGAAAAGTAGGAGAGAAGACTTCTGTAGAGGTGGTTTACACTTGAAGATAAATGAGACAGCTGATAAACTTAGTCCATGCAGACTACTACAAGAAGAAAATGCCTCAAATTGCACCAGAGATTGGATATTATGAAAAATTTCTTCACAAAAAGGTTTGTCTAACACTGGAATGGACTGCCCCAAAAAGTGGTGGAGTCACCATCCCAGGAGGCATCTAAAAGACGTTTAGATGTGGCATCCAAGGACATTGTTTAGTGTTAGGTTAAGGGTTGGACTCAGTCTTAGAGGTCCTTTCAACATAAATGATTCCAGGTTCTGTGATTCTATTAAAGTTACATTTGGGATTTTTATTTAGAAATATGTAGTGACTTAGATGCAAATATGTCTTCAACTAAAAAATACCAGGTGTACAGATAACAGAACCATATATAATTAAAATCAATAAATGTAATGAAGTAGATTTTAAGCATTTACTACCTAAAGTAATATTGACAAGATCAGTTGTTCTGGTCAATATGATTTGAAAAACTAACTCATGTTAGTTAATAAGAGAGAAAAAAAGATAAGTGAAGAAAAGTGAACATTAAGCAATGGAACAATTTCATTTTGTTCTTGAGAGGTTACCTCAGCCAAACTTAAACCTTGGTCTAATATCAAACTAGGGATATAAATTAGAAGTTCTGCACAAACTAGATACATAAACACAGTATGGATATACTATACAAACATACACAAATATATCAATCCCTTTTAGCTGGATGATAACTTAAAACAGAGGAAAAAAATCAAATAAGTGCCCTGCTGCTGAAGAAATTGTTTTTCAGCGCTCCTTTTCTCAAGTTGTAAGGTTAAATCTAGTCTATCAGGGAAAATCTAATTACTGCTATTTGCTGATGTTTTCTCTTTAAGGATTGAACACCAATCAGACTAAAGGCCATTATTTACCCATCTGAAAATATACAGATGAAATAGAAGCAATTCAAGCACACACTAATAGTGTAGCTGTCTAAAGCACATGAATGGCCCATATTGACAATACAACCTAATATAAGATTCATCTTTTGACAGCTTCAGCTTCCACTTAGATGAAAATACAGTCTTATACGATGAAATACAAAAAGCAATTTCCACTGCACTGAAATTTAAAGACATTCATGAAACACTATGGAATTTCAGTGGTTATTAATTCTACATTGCATTTAAAAAAGAGAAATTACAGTCTCTCTTTCATCAATACCAAATATAGCAATATTTCTTTGAACTTTGATAACAAAAGTTGAAATTCATTACTGAGGCAGAAGTTCTGTTTACAGGACCACATCCTCTTCTAAATTAAATTGAAATACTAGCTGGAGGCCCTGACCTCAAGTGCATTCCTTCATATCAACACAATTCACTTTCCTATTTCTCCGAGCATTAACTTTATACATTCCCAGCTGTGAAAAGCAACCGCTGCACTGTCAGATTTGGAAGCTAACCTTCACAAAATGGCAGCCCAAACTCTGTTTAGTAACACAAGCCGATGAAGGGATGGTTTGAACAGCGAGCTTTGCAGCGAAGGGAGGCGGGAGCCAGCGCTTACCCCTTTTGGCCTGAAGTAGCCGTCCAGGCAGGTCTCGCAGTTGATGCCGCTGGTGTAGCCTGAGCAATTCACACACACTCCGCCCCCCAGGTACTCCCCATGGATGTTCAAACTCTGATTTCTGGCTGCCACGTCCTGATCGTAGTAACACTCCTCAGTCTTCCCGTGACAGTTGCATGCTAAAAGGGAAGGAGAGCGTTAGCAAATACTTTCCAGCTGGGGATGCCACACTGTTACTGAGGTATTCAAAAGAGCCCTTCAATATTTCATCATTGGTTCTGTGTATATTGTAAAAGCACATTCTAACATTCATTTACTACTTCGTTTGTGAAAGGCAATGTGGTCCCAAGCACAGTCTGAAATTCTATTGAACTAAATAAAGTTGTATTTTTTTCTCCTCAATATTTTGTCTTGGGGAGTACAGAAGCTGACAGACACAGTCTAATTACGATGCTCCTCGTTTGTTTCAGCTTGTTTGATTTTTTTTTCTTGCTTAAATTGATAGCTGAGAAACCTTTTGGTGGTTGCATACACATACAGTTCATGAAAGGGTCATCTAAATTAAAATACAAGATGAGTTACAAGGAAAGCAGCACAATGGTATGAGTAAATTAAAATGATTCGAATAAAATCTGAAAGACATCCTAAAAACACCTCACTTGCACATATGCATATAAGAATTGGGACAGAACAAAGGGATTCCCAATCTTAAATCTTCTTTTGACATTTGTATCTGAACTCTAGACTTCAGGTCCAAATACAGGAAAGATAATCTAATAATCTGTTGCAATGAAAACAAGGTAGCTCACTGTCCCTTTCCCCGCAGTATTAAAACATTCATTTCATAATAAAGAGAAAGTCAAAGCTTGTCAACATTGTGGAAAGGCAGGAAACAGGGAACTGTTTCCGCCAAGACAGTACAACAATTCACTGAGAGTCAAACAGGGTGTAAGTGTTTCTTAAAAATTAAACATGAAATTAAAGGTACCCTGCTTTCATTCCATAATGCATTCCCAGTGCAGACACAGTCCCAACTAAAACAAAGACCTCTGTGACCAAAGTTTACAGGACACAAACAAGCAATGGCTACTCTAAATATGGGCATATCTGTTCCTTTTTATTTATTTTTAATCACTCATGACAAAAATTATAGCCGAAATCCTACAAAATAATAAATACTTGATATAATGGAACATTAGATTTTATTATGTTCAGAAATATAAGTGGTATGTGACCTTTGAAAGCAAGATGTTAAAGTTCAGTTATAACTACCCTTACTACAATAAATCTGAAAATTAAATTTCCACCCTGTGGGAAGTTGATATCTCAAAGTATGTTTTCATTCCATGTTGGAAAACTAGATACGTTGTATTTTCTGTTTAAAAACATCAGACATCAACTCGCATTTTGATCATACAAAAATATTTTGTTTCAGCAAAGATGAACATTATAACATATAAAAGTGCCAGTTATACAGAAATTACACAGGTAAAGTTTCATATAATGAAAAACCTGTGAAGAATTGTATTTTACTCATCAGCATGTAGCCCTGTTATTTTATCAAAAAATCCCCAACATGATTATAAAAACTACACAAGACAATTTTCTTTACATAGCATTCCCCAAATATCACCATGTTAGAATAAAATTCTGAGTTCAATAAAACCACAAATCTTCATGTAATTTTTCTGCAAAGTCTTTTGAGTCAGTCTAATTCAGTAAATAACATCAAATCAAATGCTATTCAAAAACCAGTGTGGTTAGAAACCAAATTAACTGCAAAATCACGTCGGACCCAATTTCAGTTTTCAGTAGCAGTTGCAAGAAATTCTCTCCTCTGTACTGCTTTCGACTTACGTTCACATTCATGCTTATGCAGGAGAGTGCCAGCATGCCAAGGCTTTTGATGGAAACCAGGACAACACTGATCACATGTCTCTCCGCATGTGTTGTGCTCACACTGACAGACGGATTTCTAATTTAAAAGAGAAACAAATATTTACACACTGTGATGATTTGAAAAATCTGTCCACGTACATAATATGCATTCCAGTTCAAATTATGAAAACATTAAGGATGGCTCTACTCTGTAATTCCTTTGTTTATTGATTTGTATTCGTTTATGCATCCTGCATTCACCAAGTGTGTTTAACTTCTATAGCTCTATTTGAAGAAAACAGCCACAAAGCAAAGGAAGATAGCTGGCCAGATATCTAAGGAGAATCTAAGAATGCAGGAAAATTTAATTCCAACTGGATAAAGAAAGCATGATGGGAAAGTTCCCCCATAAAACAAACAAGCCGAAGTACAGGTAGGCCTTGGATACAAGAAAACTGATCTGACCCCTAAGGAGCAGGCCATTCTCCACCCTTCCCTTTGATGCAGCAATTCTGCTGCTGCAGAATGAAATCAATTCTATTAGCTGATCCAATACAAATTGTCTTTTTTTTTTTTTTTATAATTTGGTATTATTTTTTGACTGGATAAGTGAAATTATCATGTAACCTTCCAATTCTGTAACTAATAGGAGGGATAGCAGGAGTGTTTAAAGTAATAATAGATGAGCACAAGTCCAGCCTTTCAGTCACTTTACAGTTCCCCACAAGACCACCTCAGACTCAGCATGAAAATATTACGGTAAGAAACACCAAAACTCCCTGAGCCACAGAGGCAGCTTGAAGAAGGAAAAAAAAAATCGTGGAGTTTGGAGAAATGAGAACTAAAAATTGCCTTCCTGATAGTTATTTAGTGAAGGAGATTCTCTGTGGTCCTTGTGAGGCTATACAAGGTCAAAACAGCAAGCCAGAGAAACTCCATGGCTCACAGGACAAAGCATAAATCTTGCAAAACAAGGCTAACTCAAGGACTGCTTCAGAAAAGCATGGCAGCAAATTCCAGCAAGTTTATTCCAGCAAGTTATTCCTAGCAAGTAATGCTAAGGGAAAGATTCTTTCTGCTAACAACTACAGTCATAATGTTTATAAGCCTATTTTGGCATGGCTCAGTCTAAAGACTATCCCTGGACAGTTAAACCTCCAAATCTGTTCTGGCTTGAGCTGTTTCACTTATGCTTTTTTTTATACTGGTCAGACAAAAAATATGCATTTGATGTCCTGCAAAACAGGACATCACACTTGTCAAAATGGCTTTATTTTATCTAGCAGCCAAATTATCTGAAGTATGTATTAATCTCAGTAGCAGCACTTATTTTCCAAGGCAGACCTGATCTTAACAAATGGCACAGAGACAATGCTGCAGCTTCATCACTAAGGGCATCTGAAACAATAGTTCAACACTTGCTGTACATATCATTACAGAATATTCTCTGAAGGGTTAAACCAAGGAATTGTTCAATTTTCACAAGATCCATAGCACTTGCTTCGAACTCTAAATGTATTCTCTATAAACTTTTGTCATTTCTTTAAATTATTTCATACATAATGGCTTAATGCCACATACAAACAAGACTTTTAGTTAAATCCTATAAAGCTCCTACTTAAGCGAATAGTACATGAAGAGAATCCACACTGTGGCATATTAGTAAACAGGAAATTCAGTATTAGTGATAATGGACACATAGAGTTGGACAATGAGTAAAAAATTATATTTCTATATTAATTACATTGGTTATGTTTTGATTATATTGGTTATCTGCAAAAAAAGAGAGCTGCAAGTTGAAAGATAATATAAACAGCCCATGATTTTCTAGATTAGTTTAACTTATCATTCAACTGATACTCCCTACATAGCCAATGCACCATTCTAAAGCCATCATTTGTTTGCAAGCATCAATTAAATATTTGAAAATCATTTAGGAAATATCTTGATTAACATCAAGAAGGAAAATAAAGACTGACTGTTAGTGCTCATTTCTACAGCTACATAGTGTAACCCAGATTTCTGTTTTTCCTAGGAAACTTCCAGTATGAATTATCTGAAACCTATTCTTTCATTTCAGGAAAGTCTCTGCTGACACTGTATGAATGTTTGTTATTCTGGGTGCTAGCACTGTTTCATTCTGGCACTGCTTCTGACTGTTCTTCTAGGTGAAAAACAGACATAAATTCACAGAACTCTGAAGAATATCAATATCAGGGGATTTTCCTCATGTTCCACCTATAAATAAGGCACATTAAAAAAAAAAATACGCACATTGGTCACTGGATCCAGTGGACAAGCCTTTGCATGGCCTGAACATATACACATGCCTCCAACGGAGATGTCTTTTATAGAATAGTAATACTGTAAGACAAAACAAAAATTGAATTGCTAAGTGGATTCTAAAATGCAGGTGCCAAATTGCAGAATTCATTTCTTGTGACAAAACTGTCAGGTCCTGTTTTATTTCTTTTTTGATCTATTACAAATATAGCAGACAGGGTAATCCAAGCCATGTCTTGATCAACAGATTCAGGCTGAGTGAAAGAAAGGGTGTAAATTGGCACAGTTCCATTTGTTTGAAGTCACAAAAGCCATGTCAATTTATACACAGCATACAAAAACATGAGAAAAGAAAAAGGCTATATGCACACTGGATAATGAAAAGTCAAACTAGAGCATTTAGAAGCTACAGAATTTATTCCCTTCAGAAAATATGAAAAGGAAAAGGCATGATGATGGGAAGAGGAGAAAATCTAGGAAAAATCCCATGAAACACCTTTGTTCACCTTAGCTGGGTCTAATTTGGGCATTCACTGAACTGTGGAAAGAAGAATAGTTTTTCACTATTGGCTTTTGAATGATCATTAAAGTCTTTATTACTGAGATTTAGGTACTTTTGACCTGTTTTTCTACCATTTGGCCATTTCTCTTTTTTCTTTGTGGAGGATTAAGAGCCCTAAAAAGAAAGAAGGATACAAAGATATTCATAATCTTATATTACAAAACCTGTGAAAAGTGAACCACATTCATTGTCTTCTGTTTCAGCAAGGGTCCTGCAACATGTTCACAGCTGGCTAATCAAACAAAACATATGCTATTTGCAAATTTTGCTGTTACAGTGTTCAACCTCTTTATCAGATCATAAATAAATATATCAAACAAAATGAGAACCCTTATCACTCCTAGTTGAACTTCCAACACAAAGAAAATGTATAATTTGTGGCTACCCTTTGTTTCCTGACAAGGGTGGCAAGTTTCAGTTACTCCTTGATCCTTTAAGGATGGCATCCTGGAGAGATCCCACACAGATGTTACAGTTCTTTGTTGGCTTGAGAAACCAGTGTATTGTCCTACACTCAGGTTTCATGAGTTTAGAGTAATTTTCTAAGTGCTAATTCAATTTTGTATTTCTACTACTGGCTTAGAATCAGATTATTAAATGTCCACTTTTACACAGTATTCATGATTAGTGAGGTTGCAATAACTGTACTCAACTGCAAGGGATTCTAGGTTTGTAATTCAAAACAAAATGCCTTGTTCCAAACTTTCAGAAATAGCCAGCACTCTATTTAGACATGGAAATGGAAACCAGAAATGGGAACAGAAGATGCAAATTTTCTTAGCACTTAGCCATCAATGACAAATGATATTAACAAAAGAATAATGATATACACCCCCCCCACCCCCATTCATAACAGGACTTATTTTTGTTTTGGAAAGTTAGGTTACCAGTTACGATGACCAACAGGAAGGGAAGTGGTTAAAAAAAAAAAAAAGGAATATTATATATCCCCCAAACCAGTTTTTGAGAATGCTTAGTAGAAAAAACTCTGAAAAATCAGAGGTTTTGAGAATGCCTAGTAGAAAAATCAGAGGAAAACAAGAACAGCATACATTATTGTGTGTTCCTGTGCAGGACAACAGGGAGATATGGCTTAGAAAGGAAGTAAAGACTGCAGAAAGAAGAGACAGAGATGTGCACACACAAACAGTGGAGAAGACCAGAGTATGGGTATAGTATGAGTTTAAATCCATTGTACCCATTCTTTTAAGCTAAAGCAAAGCACAAAATGTTTACTGCTACCCTCATATCATATGAAAAGTGTTGCATTCAGACCCTATTACTACTTATAGTACAATTACAAATTCTACTCAAAGGGAGTGTTCCAGGCATGCTAAAGGTAGCAAAGGATTGAGTAGCAGAAGAGGCAAGAGATAGTAACAGCAAACACTTGCCAAATATACATCCAAATGTCTGCAGCCAGAAAAGGTGGGTGTTTATGTTAATAACATCATTAAGCAGAAAATGTAAAATTGCTAACTCTACTCTAGAGAAGATAAGAAATAGAGTGCACAAGGAATTCTCCAACACCAGGATTTTGAAAGACAATAGCAGGTAATCATCAACTCCCAAAATTTCCTACAGCAAACAAAGGCAGGTACAGCACTTACAAGTGTAAGATAACTTCTACACGTGTCTTTCTATTGCCTTGCCAGAACTTACCCTCCTTGTAACAATGGGATCAATTTCAGCTGGATCTTTGTGTGCAAACATCATTAAATCAGCATTTAGTGTCCTAATCCTCTGGAATCTCAGGCGAATAAAGCGAGCAGAGGTGAACTCCAGTAATTCACGTGACGGATCATCAGCACTAGGTCGTCCATTAATTAGAGAAGTGTGAATCTGAAAAATTATAAAAGCAGTAAGGAATTACATTACATCAATTTTGTCATGATTAGGCCAAAAAATATCATTACAGGCATTGTGTTAATGCATTTGTACATGCAGAATAAATTCTTTCCGTAGAAAGTAGATTTTCCCCAAAATATTCCAAGTGTCCACAGACCTCAGCTATGAAAAGTCTTTATATTAAAAACATTTAGAGCAAAGGAAAGTCATCAGCAACAAAAAGACAGCATCACACACTGTATATGTGTACCCACTCCCTAAACCAAGTGTCCATGCTGCAGGCAATTCATTTGTCCTCCCCCCAATCTGAAATTAGGTAATCATACAACCAAATGGGCTCCCAAATTTTGAGTTAAGGGAATGTATACTTGCAGTGGGATTCAGAATTCAACAGGGGTCAGTTTGCACCTCTTAGAGTGATCATCATCAAAAGGCTTTTGAACTTTTGAAATACTGAAAACTACAACAGCTAGATGAGACAAAATCAGCATTCATAAGCACCTCTCCTTTCCCACTGTCTCTTTACACAACTTCTCCTTTGAATCCTGTTCTCAGCAAGGTGAAACAATTTCCTGGGTTGCAACTGTTTTCACCTGGTCCCAGAGGAAAGTCTTTATCACTTCTGAGAACTTTGTCTAGCATTTGTTTTTCCAAAGACACTACCACTCTCTGCCTACACTACAGTTTCTGTAAAGATTACCTCCCCCTTTCACTGCCTGCCCTATCCTAAAGTCTAGAAATCTAGGTAAGACTGTGGCTCCTTCAGAGAGGCTCTCTGATCCCAACTGAAGCATCAAGGGCAAGGCAACAAAAAATAGGACATCTTCCCCTGCTGCCTTTGTAGCTGATCATGGCACATTAGCTCCAAATCAACTAAATAAAGCAGATGGGCTGGTACATAACTGTTCTTGGAAAAGGCCTACAAGAAGAAGCATGTCAAGTATAGCAAAATACTGTTAATGAGCACCTAGAGGGAGAGAGGAAAGAAACCATTAATTTTCCTGTATTCTCAAGTGTTAAATTTTAATTGGGGCATTTTTATTACAGGCTGGTACACTGAAAGAATGTTCAGATGCTAAGCCAAATGTGCATAACATTGGAATGAGTAAGAGAATTATTTATTCTTTGCAATGAACATGTGTTGCCTCATACCTCAATGCTCTGAGTAAGAGGTCAGGCCACACAGCCATTTTCTGTCATTGAACATGGTCATATCACTGCTGGTTTAGGCAAACAGCTGCACTCCAAACACCAGCTGGCACTCACTCAGCAGTGGCTGCCTCACACTGAGGAAAGAGACTAAATCTACTCCTCCCAGGAAAGCAGCAGCTCTTGGTTCCTGCAGTTTTTGGACGTGCTGGATAGACGTACTGAACAACTACTGTCTTGCATTGCGTTTGTGATACTATCAACTCATTTATCTCAAAGGCAGGGGGCAAGAGGATGGTGCCACACTCTTCAGTGGTGTTAGGATGAGGATCAAGGTCTCTAAACACATGAAGTTTCACCTCAGCATTGAGGAAGAACTTCTTTACATTGGCAATGACAGAGCAAGGAGGTAATGGAATCTCCCTCTCCAGAGACATTTAAAACTCACCTGGATGCACTCCTGTGTAACCTGCTCTAGGTGACTGAGCTTTGGCAAAAGGCTTGGACCAGATGCTCTTCAGAGGTCCCTTCCAACCCTAACAATTCTGTGATACTGAGATTTTTACTGCCAAGAGGGAAACCGTATACCTCATCGTGTCCAGCATTCTGCTCCACTGTATCTACAGGTACACCAAATCACAGGGAACCACTCTGGCTGGCTGCCAGGAGCAGCCATCAATTATATCTTGCCTGTGTATGAATCAGCGCCTCTGGGTTTCTGCCATGTTACCTCCAGGAACAGGTGATATCACTACCTCCTACTCAGATCACAACAATACAGTCACTGAGCTCTGACTCAGTTCTGCTCCTGACTACAAGTAACTAAAGGACACGGCTTGAAACAAACAGAATAAAATGCTGTGAAAAAGTCATGGTGCAAACAAAAGGTTATAAAAAAACCCCAGAGGAAGCAAGGAGGAGGTCCGGAATGGGAAATGTCTGGCTACAAATAGGACAAAAGCACATGACCAGAGAACTGCTCAAATCCCTGGTGAAGAGAGAGAACATGTGTGGAGAGAAAACTTCAAAGGAAGCCTGAAGAAGGTGGCAACAAGTCAAGTGGAAATTGAGAGATCTTTCCAAATAAAGGAGAATTTTAGCAAAAACACATGCCTAAAGACTTTTTGCATAATATTTGCTTGTGAGCAAGGAAACATATTTCTTCAGAGTATTTTTTCACACCATCACTGCCTTCCTTTAAAACAGGATCCAAGAGATTTCTCTTCTACTGCCAACAAACATACATGGGTTATGGTTTAAAGCAACAGAATACTAAACACTGAACTTTGATATTCCAGAGATAAAGAAATAAATCTAAAGTAGTGCCTTGCTCAGTCTGATAGAAAGCCATGACACCATGGCAGTAATAAGCAGCATGGCAATCTGATTAAATCTTCAAAAAGACAAAAATAAAGATTTTGCAGGTGGGAGGAGAAAGATGCGGGTGAAATCCCATGTATCAATAGAAGTAAGTACCCACAGAGTAATTACATAAAAGTATTAATCCCAGACACAGCTTGACCACAAATGACACAGCTGACAATCAGCAGTCATACCTTTTGATTATTTTAGAAACAACAAATTTAGTCTTCAGACACTGATGGGGGAAAAAAACACCTCCTTGGAATGATAGTTTTACAGAACTAAAATGTAAGTTAACAAAATAAAACCAGAGGTATTCATTTTAGAACGGACCCTATTTTTGAAAGGATTATCTGCCAGCAGTTCATCTATTTGGCAAGGCTAATCTAGTAAGATGATGACTTCCATTTATATTATTTTTAAGCTTTGTCTTTAAATGTTTCACCATTTAATTTTAAAACAACAAACAATTAAGTTGACATAATCCCTGAAATGCAGCTATGTCCTGCATGAAATACGGCACCTGCTCAGGTATGTACAGCAAATTGACATTGTGACTAAAAAAATTCAGAATTAGATAGTTTTATCAAAATTAATATGAAGTGAAAATTTTACATTGGCAAAATTAATTACTCTAAATTATTTCTCCTCCTATAAACATCTGTGATGAAATCATTCATTTCTTCCTAGAAACATTTAGAATCAACTTGAAAACTGTCCAACCAAGTTGTTCCTACTCCTTGAAAAGAGAATAAGGAAGAAATTAAGAATACTTTAGGAACATCTGTCATTAATCAGAGAAAGATCCAGTAAGAACCCGAATTTAAAGAAGTTTAAATAGGTTTAGATTTACAATGTTTTCAATATGGCTCTCCCAATGAGACATCACTGAGTTTTTCCAGAGCACACTTACTCTTTTCATCTCCCTCCACTATCTTGCACCTGTTTGAAAGACACTGTTCGCAGGACAGCTCACTTTCAGTCAAGACTCTAACGTGGCCCCTGCCTTCCAAGTATGTTTGAATTGGACTTGAAAACTGTCCCAGTGAATACAATCTTCACTAAGCACCTACCCCTCTGCCATATAAGATCATCACAGTACTCCACACCCAGGCCCAGCGAAGATTTGCCCCCCTTGCACACATCAGCTACAGCCTGCGCTGGCTGTGCCCACACTGCATTGTGAGCCACTCCACAATTCTACAGCAGAGATTCTACAGCAGAGATTCTACAGCAATTCTACACAGATCCAAAGCTCAGTCTTCCAGGAAAATATTAATACTTTAGTCCACCCACTCGGCTGCTACAACTTGGATAATCTAAGTTCCCATGAGGGAGCAATGTCAAGTTTTGTTCAGGTTTTATGGACAACTTTTATTTACCATTTCCAAGACTGAAGTAATAATCATAATTTTGGTTCTAAATGAAAGATACTCCAATTTCCACTAAAGAATACCTTTCCTTAACAAAGCATCTGTCCATGACTATATTCCAACAAATGGAATCCTTAGGAATCTCCAACATAGGTCAGAAGAAAACAGTTATGAAAGACTGTAAGAAACAGAGCATTTCAACACTGACCCCTCTAATACAATATGATCCCTTCCTCTGACTAATCAGTGTAAAGGTTTCCTGAGCTACAGCGTGAATCTGAGTCATAGTGCTTAATATCTACCAACTGCCCTTTTCTGTATTAGAGCTCTACTCTCTTTTTCAACCTTTATGTTCTTCATCACTACATGTCCTTCTCCCATTGTGAGGAAATTAGCTTCTTAAAAAAACCAACATAACTGTCCCTGGCGGGGTTGTTCTTTCTTTGTTTGTTTCCTTTTTCTTTTTAAACCTTGAACTCATAATTATTTAATTGAAAGTGTTCTAATTTTTCATTTGAGAAAATTGTGAGCAGTCAAAATATTTTAATTTTTAAAATTAAGTATGATGATAAATACACTTTTTCTTATCTGAGAACTGTGGAGGATGTTACAAGTTCTCTCCTCTGAAGAGAATTTGGTCTAAGACAAGCCCATCAGCATTCATGCATAATTCTTTTTAAATTCTTACATTTCTTACTCTGCTTTTAGCAACACTCATTTTCATATAGTATTTTTCATGTAGTATCATAAGCTGCTAATAGAACAAATTATCTTAAATTTCGCATTACCAACAAATGCTGCTATTACACAGTTTTCTGATTTTTTAGATTGCCTGCAAGAATGCTGAACAACAGGAACACTACCAAATACATTCAAAGGACATCTCAAGTACATTAGAATCTCTGGACCGTGTCAGAACCAAAAGACCTATCCAGCTTGGCAGTCTGCCCCGTACAGCATCCAAGCCAGCATGCTAACAGTAAGATGAAGGCAAGCATACATAATACTTCCACAGGGATTTGCTGAGCTATAGGTAGTTTCTATACATCTGGTAAGCCTCAAAGTATTTTCCATGAACTCCATCTCACCTTAATCCAAGTCCCCTTTCAA